TGTATAACTACTGACTCAAAATCACAACAGTAAATTGTATTAACAATTAAGCCCATTTTTCATTTTAACAGTTTTAACAGATAAATTTATCTACAACAGCGGATTTTCAGGCAATGATGTCAAGTAGGTCCACTTCCAAATCACAATAAATATTTAGTGGGCAAATAAATAAAAATCCATATGCTACTTGTTAACTCTCACAGTGATAAAGAAACACCAGGGTTTGTTGGTGTTGTTGGTGTTTTGGGTGGTTTTTTGGGTTGGGGGGAGTGAATGGGTGAGAAGGTAGAGGGAACACCAGAAGGTGTCCAAGTTTAAAATGCATTGCTGTTTTGAGTGTACATCCTTCCAGAAAACTCTTCCTTTTTTTTTTTTTTTTTTTGGCTCATTACCAGGTGTTTCCCTTTCCAGCATCAAAGTTGAGCATGGATAGTAAAAGTATGGCCAGACCAATTTGCTCTCATTTATTTTGAGCCATTGCCAGACTCAGAAAAAGAACAAAAGGAACAATATCCTTTTTATGTCTTTTTAAATTAAATGGTCTTCCATGAAATATCTTCATACTATTAAGTATGTTATAAAATGTTCTACACTGATGTAGGACCAAAATATCTCAGAGAACTCTGTGAGTTCAAGGCTAATGGAATGTGCCAAAAGGGCTACCATACAAGCAGAGAAACCACACTGGGAGGCTCAGAGAGTAATGGTGTAGGTCTCTCTGTCAGGAACAAAACAAGCCCAAATAACAACTGGAAATATTCTGTCAGTTATCTCCTTATGGTCCTCCCTAGCCACAGGTTAGAAAAATAAAAATGAAAGGAGTTTGAAGTAAGAAGAAAATATAAACCAGGAAGATTGTAAAGAAAAGCTTGATTCACTTCAAATTCATTGGATGAGCAATTGATTAAAGATGAACACCTACAGGGGCACCTGGGTGGCTCAGTCGGTTAAGCGTCTGACTTCGGCTCAAGTCATGATCTCATGGTTCGTGGGTTTGAGCCCCACATTGGGCTCTGTGCTGATGGCTCAGAGCCTGGAGCCTGTTTTAGATTCTGTGTCTCCCTCTTTCTCTGACCCTCCCCTGCTCATGCTATCTCTCTCTCTCTCTCTCTCAAAAATAAATAAAACATTAAAAAAAAGATGAACACCTACATAACACAGTTCATGTCACTGGATAGAATAAGAAAGAAAAAGATAAAAGAAGCATATGTCGAAGTGGGGTGGAATTAACGGGCAAAAAAGAGGAAAGCAAATAATTTAAAAAGCAAAAGGAGAAAAGAAAGAAAATGAAAAAAATTAAGCTGACAGGAAGGAACATATGAAATGCAGCTGTGATGCTCATTTGCTCTTCTTTTAAAATGTAAATTACTTCTGATTTTGAAGTCAAGGTCTTGATATTTTCCTGTGGAAATATAGCCATGTACACTTTAAATAGTCTCTTCTACAAAAGAGAGAAAATTAGGAGAGATAATGTAGTTTTCCTGTAAGGAATTAAGAAATAGTCTAAAAAACCTAAAGCGTTTCAGGGTAAGTTGTCTGCAACAGACAACAGCTTTAAAAACCTCCAAATTTCCTAGCCTGATGCGGGCACAAAGAGAGTCTGGGACTTGGTTGCCTGGCAACCGCGCTCTTCACAGGCAGCTGGAGTAAAAGGAACCGCCTGGTGCCAAATGGCCTTTCACCTGCTTCGTTAAAGGGAAATCAAAGTGGAAGTGTCACTTCGCAAAGGCCAAGAGCCCTTTGAGAAACCAAGGCTAGAGAAACCCTCCTCTGGCTTCATTTTGTTTGCGGAGTCATTTGATGAGGGTTTTCTAATGCCTCAGTAATCAGCGGTGCTTTCTCTCTCCTTGCCCCTCCTCTGGGTACCACCCTCCATAAAACAGGCAGTAAGCTTCGTGCTCTGATGGTGTATAGAAGGCAAAGCAATCGTTTTAAACATTTTGCTCTGAACTGATAGTTAAACTCTGAAAATTAGTAAAAAGGCTTGTAACTCTTTTAGTGATGACCTTTCGTGAACATCTCCCCAGTTCATTAGATGTGCTTTCTGAGAATACTGAGACTATAAAGTTTATTCGTGATGAAAAGAGACTTAGAAATAGCTACACAAATATTCTGGTTTTACTTACACACCTGGTGACTGGATTTATTTTAGAAACTTACTTGGCTGGCTATTTTAGTGGAAATGTGAAAAGTGCCTGGAGGTGATTTCATATATAGAGTGTTCTTTCCAAAAGAATTCATAGAGCCCATTCCTAAAATGTATTCTCCTATACACCTTTGGTCTGTGAAAATTTTAGAATTTGCTAGAAAATACAGTTTTGTAATGGAAGCTTAATGAGTAACTTCCATTTAGTCCAACTGTCTTACAATCAAACAGTAAAATGTGAGTGGAAACTGGGCAGCTAGCTGTGTAGCCATCAGAAACAAAGCACTGAAGAAAGCAGTGAAATCTGGCACCCACTCCTGTCACTCAGCACCACACTGCTTTTCTAACTCGAGTAGCATAGACATAACTAATGTACACAGTTTGCATTTCGATTTTTTCTTCAGGTAACTTTTTTTTTAATTGGGGAAGATAACGAGGAGAAAGGAGGGACAGAATCCACAACAGGCTCCCCATCCAGCATGGACCCCACCCCCACAGGACTTGAGCTCACGAACAATGAGATCATAACCTTAGCCGAAATCAATAACCAACACTTAACCGACTGAGCTGCTAAGGCACCCCCACGTAACTTCTCAATATAAAACCTAAAAGTATAATGTTAAACTTTTCAGGTCATTCAAATTATATGTATTTATTTCAGCTTTATTCACTATGAGCATAAAGTATAATTACTTTTTATACGTTTTATAGCACTTATTCACTCTTATTCCTTTATTTTATTGTACTTTACTAAAATATGTTTTTTATGTTCAAAACTCTGTGTGTATGTGTGTATATATTCCATAATCCACCCCCCATTTCCACCCCCAGAGTTGAGATGGAAATGGATTTTTATTCTCCACATGATTTCTCAAGGCAGTCTTCTGTGATTGTCAGTAGCTATAGAATCACCCAGAAGACTTTGGTCAATGAAGGTGAAGAGGTGTCAAGCAGCTAAAAGGAAAAAGAGAACAGCTTATAAGCACTCCTAATACCTCTCCCAGAGGTCAAATCAATTATTAAAGACTGAGGTGAAAGAAGAAAGGAGTATAATTCTGCTCCAAGTTGAAGATACATCTGACCTGAATTTTATGGCTTTCACCCTCTCAAGAGTGGCTACAAGAATATTAGCTGACATTATTACTCACCTAACCTTAAAAGTAAAAATTCCCAGAAACTTTATTATGTAATAAAATGTGAAATATTTGGTCAACTGGTGATTCTTAAGTAATTACATGTTCCAGTAGAAGATTATTTTCTCTTTCAGGATGGTTATAAAGTGTTTTTGTAATAATCAATTGTAGCTTTTCAAAAAGCCTTAATTTACACTGTTAAAATGGAAGACAACTTTGTTTTCTTTTATTTTAAAAACCTGGCACCATAAGTCCTTCACAGAAAATTTGGGGTAGAAGGTAAGACCCTGAGGCCATAAGTTAGCACATAAGTTATTAACCTTGGCTGTATGTTAGGATGACCTGGGGAACTTTTTAAAAATGTTGATTCCCTACTCACACATTTCTCTTCATCAAGGCTGTAATCTTTATTCCACATCTGAGTCAATTCTGTATGAAACAGCATTAATATGTGTCCATGAACTTCTAAGTTAATTTAGATTTAAAGTTTAAGAGGTGTCATTTTCTAGGAGATGGACTTCAGGAGACTAGTTACACTATTGCGGAAAAAATGAGCACAGTGTTTAATGTTATTTATGCCTAATTGCTTGCCCAACATCTTTGTCTCTCTAGTCTTGTGCTCCTGTAACCTTCCATTCTAATGCCTGTATCTTAATATTATTACTAAATTAATAATTAATATTATTAAATTAATAATTAATATTAAAATTAATATTTATGTCCTAAAATATTAATGTCCTCTTTAAGAGGAAATTAATGCTAAAAAGTATTCTAAATTATATACAAGTATAAGTAGTAAAATAAATGTTAGCTCTTATTGATAGCATCCAGCCAGGTTACACTTGGGGGTGGGGAGCCATAGTGCCTATACTGTAACTGTACAACAACAAGTACACACACAGTTTACTTTTAGAAAAAAAAAAGCTGAGCTCTTTTTTCCATAAAATCATATACCTATTTCCTTAATATGTAGTATTATTTTCTAATAGAATGTTTAGGGTGTGTGTAATATTATACCATCCCATGAAAGAATTAGAATGACCTAATTCTCTACTTCTAACATTACTGATGAAAAACTGATGTGTATACAAGAATTGGGATATAACTTTTATAATTTGCTACCACACATCATTTACAATAATCTGTAAATTTTCTCACTCTATGCTTAAGAATAGAATAAATTCTATGTTACATGTACTCCCCTAACTTACAGCTTCAAATGGAAAAGTTTGTGCTATTGCTACCTAGTAATGAGAGATACACTCGATTTTCATTTACTGAAGTTATATTTATTGGCAACAAACTGTCCTTCTGATCTTTGTCCTTGAGTCCTACAACTGTTAGATTTCCTAGTTTCAACAAAGAAAAATCACTTCTGTCTATGTTAAGCAGAAGTAGGTCTTACTGGAAAGATGTAGGATATTAAGAGTTGTTAGGAAAACTGGAGATCAGACTCCAAAAACAGGCAGAAACCAAGCATACAGGCAGAAGAGCATCGGGATGAGGTCACTTTGTAAAACCAGTCTGGTCAGAAAGCATCCATTAGCTCCATTGCCGGTACAACCATCAGATACCGGAGAAACCACTGGAAGCCATTGCAGTCATTGGTGTACAATGAATCTGGTACTATATTCTCAACTGTTCCTCCATCCTTGTATTTACTACTTTGGTGTCAATATCCCAAGCAGAAGCATCCTATCTGCTGAGCTAATATCACTTACCTTGTATGCCTACTGATACTATAAATGCCAGGAGTAGAGAAAAGGAAAGTTTGTCATCCTTTGGCTTCTGTACTGGGAGCTGGAGCTCTGGATCCAACGAAGATTCTAGGAATTAGATATTTCTTAAAATACAAAAGGGTTTTGGAAAATGGACAGCTGTAAAAGTGAGAGGCATGTTTTCATCACATTTCCCAATTACTACACATGTGAACAGAATCATATCTCTATGATAATGGAGGTTGAGAAAGATTCCATGATTATGAATTTGTAGAATCAACTTCAAATATGAAGCATTGACAAAATTTCCATTAGTTAATTTTGGATGACTGACTCTGGGATTAAGTACAAGTTTTTTGTTACTATTTTGATAACTATGGTCAGCACAGGTCATGAAAGCAGATACCTAGAGCCTTACACACAAGCAATAAATACAGTTACCAACATGGTATGATTTAATGGGTAAAAATTTTGATGGCTGAGAATTGGACATTATTTCTAATGAATAATGATAAATATACAACATTTGTTGATATCACAATATCACTATATTTGTGTGATGTGAGCAAAGCAGTGATTAGATAAAATTTTGTAGTTTTAAGTGATTATATTAGAAAATAAGACTTGAAATCAGATACTTAAGAGTCCATGTTAGGAATCCAGTAAAATATGAGCAAACTAAAATGAAAGGAAGTAAGACAAAGAAAATAAAGAGGACTGTAAAATAGAAAACAAATTATTTAAAAAAACTGCAAATTGGTTCCTTGAAATTCCCATCAATCAAATTCATCTTTTTAACAGAACATAAAATGAGACAAAACCATCTCAAAAGATGCAGAAAATATTTTTACAAAAGTCAACACTCATTCATGATTTTTTCAAAATCATTCATAATATTAGTGATATTGATAAACAGAACTAATGAATAATAAAGGAAATACATAATAAGCACATAAAAAAGTGCTTAACATCATAAGTTACCAAGAAAACTAAATTTAAAATCATGATGATTTAACAGTATACATTCACTGGAATAAGCAAAATTTTAAAGACTGAACATAAAATTTGACAAGATTATAGAAAGACTGGAACGCTCACATATTGTGGTGAGAATGAAAAAAAAGATAAAGTCACTGAGGAAAAGAGTTTGGCAGTTTCAATGTAAAGTGAAACACATTCTTACCACATGACCCAGCAATTCCACTCCTATTTATTTAACTGTGAGAAATGAAAACATACGTCCACACAAAGACTTGTACACAATGTTCACAGCAGTCTTATTCATAATAGTCTTAACACTGGAAACAGCTCAATCGTTCATCAATAAAAGACGGGATAACCTGGTATTTTATATAATGATACACTACTGAGCAACAAATAGGTGTGAGGTACTGATATATGCAATAAAGTGTGAATCTCAAAAACATTTTACTTTCGGCCCCTGGGAGACTCAGTCAGATGCTCAAGCATTTGACTCTGGATTTCAGCTCAGGTCATATCTGGCATTTTGTGGGTCTGAGCTCCACACTGCCAGGATGGAGCCTGCTTGGGACTCTCTCTCTCTCTCTCTCCTCCTCTAGCTCTGCCCCTCCCACCCTTCTATACACACACACACACACACACACACACACACACACACACACATTATTACATTTATGTGAAGTTTTTAAAAAGGCAAAAAGCAATCTGAGGTGAAGAAAATTAGAAGAGTGGTTTTCTAGGGGTTCATTAGCCAGGAAGAAGAATTAGAGAATTGTTTTTTTAAGGGATATGTTCTATATCTTGTTATGGATTGTGCTACATGGGTATATTATTTCTTTCAGACCTCATTGAATTGTATCTTTATGACTTATATATTTCAATTTATTCAATTTACCTCAAACAGAAAACTTAGCAAATATTAAACTCTAATTAGTAGGTTTGCTTTGTGGCTTATCAATTCTGAAATTCTGTTTTCTGTATTCTAGGTTTGAGTAAATGAATAAATATATTAAAGATAATTGGAGGAAGTTTTCTCACACACACACACACACACACACACACACGTATATTTTCTATTCACTGAGAAGGCAGAGGAGTAAAGACACACCAGTAGCCATGGCATGCCTACTTTCCAGGTCTTGGTTTCTGAACTTATTTTCCACTACATGGAACCAGAATTCCTAAGAGAATTAGATGATACCAGTGCTAAGACATGAAAAGTACAAGATAAACCTACAACCTCTTATTGTGACAGAAAGTAAGGAAGTAAAGAATAAGGGAACGTGTCAAATGAACACAAGAGTCAACTCAAAAAGACTCCCACTGACCGAACCTGGGACTATTTGATCATTAAAATAAATACTGATAGTAACGGATTATAACCCGGTGAGTAAACTAAGAATCCATGACTTCATGCTGAAATAAATACATGGATGAGTAAACAAAAATAAATGCAAGAAAAAGGAAATGCACTTTTTATGGTAGAATGCAGACCAATAAATAATGATACAATGATGGAGTTAGAAAATCATGAGTGGACATCAAATCTAGTAGATAAAGTTTGATGAACAGGATACTCACCATTCCCAAGTTCGAGGCCCACGTCAGGCTCTGTGCTGACAGCTCAGAGCTGGGAGCCTGTTTCAGATTCTGTGTCTCCCTCTCTGTCTCTGCCCTTCCCTCACTTGTGTTCTGTCTCTTGTGAAAATAAATAAACATTTAAAAAATTTAAAAATGCATAACCTGAAACTAATAATGATGAAACATCATTAAGCTCAGGTTGAGGCATATTCTATAAGATAACTAATCTGTAAGCAACCCTTCGAAAATTAAGACCATAAACATTAAGTATGGCTGATGATCTGTTGCAAATTAAAAGATACCAAAGAGACATACAAATTGCTTAAATGTAAATCATGCTCCTGGTTTGGATCTTGACTAGGGAAAAAGTAAGGAAATATCCTCATTTTGATAACTATGTTGTCAATAGGTAAGAGAAAGAACATGCTCTTAGGAAACACACAGTGAGTTATTTAGGGGTAAAATTTGTGATCTCTGTGATTTGCTTTCAAATGACTCAGAAAAAAAAAAAGAACAATATGTAATTATATAAGAAGGGAAGCAAATGAGACAAAATATAAATAAGTGAATCTGGTTGTAGGTTATGTGGGTATTTCTAGTCCCTTGTGCTATTCTTGAAATATTTCTTAAGTTTGAAAGTATATCAAAATAGAAAGTCACTAAATAAATAAATGTCAGGAACTTGCTCCTCCACTACCAATGCTCTCCCCCCATAAAAGCTGTTACATGGGAGATTGGTGAGTCAAAAAAGAATAGTACAAAATTCCAGTGTTTCTAGCTCCAGGGTCTTTGGAGGGTAGTTCCTAAACATAGGCTGGAAGAAAGCTCCTCTTTTGCCCTGCTAGGAAAAGTCCCTGAAGGTAATTCTTGCCTTTATCTTAAGTCTGGTTCTATTTTGTTGGATTGCAAGAATAGGACTAAGGAAGCAAGAATCAGACTAATTATTCTTTTGCCTTGGGAAAAAAATCTTTTATTGTCAGTGAAAGATTTTTGATGCATTTTTTATGAATGATAAAGAAAACTTTTTCTAAAGTAGCTAGATATTTGTAAGCCTACGGCTATGCTGAAAACTCGAAATGCACACAGCTGTTTGAGCACCGTCTGTCATTAACTGTGTGAGGTTTAAGCATTCTGTTTCATGAGATCAAGATTCTTTTTGTCTGAGGAAAGTAGGACTGAGTTTGCTGGGAGTGAGATCCCAGGACATTTGCATCCTTTTCCTTGCCAGACCAGTTCTTTTGTTCATTTGTATCTTGCAGGCCAAAATCTTTATGTTTTAAAGTACAGCAGCATATTTTTCACTCACTAATGAACCCTGATTAGAATTCAACACTTTTAGGTGATATTTATGACAAAGTCATGTTGGAAGGGATATGTATCTTTCAGATATGCCTTCAGGAACTCTGAAAAAATCCATAGTTAAAAATTATCCATTCTTGGGGCGCCTGGGTGGCTTAGTCGGTTAAGCGTCCGACTTTCGCTTAGGTCATGATCTCGCGGTTCGTGGGTTCGAGCCCCGCGTCGGTCTCTGTGCTGACTGCCAGCTCAGAGCCTGGAGCCTGTTTCCGTCTGTGACTCCCTCTCTCTCTGACCGTCCCCTGCTCACGCTGTCTCTCTCTCTCCTAGAAATAAATAAAACATTTAAAAAAAAATTATCCATTCTTGGGGTGCCCGGGTGGCTCAGTCGGTTAGGCGTCCGACTTCAGCTCAGGTCATGATCTCGTGGTCTGTGGGTTCGAGCCCCTCATCGGGCTCTGTGCTGACAGCTCAGAGCCGGGAGCCTGTGTCAGATTCTGTGTCTCCCTCACTCTCTGCCCCTCCCCAGCTCCTGCTCTGTCTCTCTGTCTCAAAAAATAAATATTAAATTTTTTTTTAAATTATCCATTCTTTTCCTAATTTGGAATAGTTATTGGAAGTGACATATCCTGTCATTCAACTAGATATAAAACTGCTTAATATATAAACTTATCATCAGAACACATACACATAGCCTTGCCATTAGCTCAGGTTAATACACAGTGGGACAAAAGATATTCCACTCTTATAGGTCTATTCACTTACTGTTGATTAAAATATTTTAAGATAAAGCATAGTTAATTCTCATTGGAATAAAAATTGGTATTGGACATCTTATAATTATATTATTCTTTATTATCTCTCTGATCCTTGGTTTCCTTATTTGTCAGATGAAAATTAGAAATATTAAATGAAATGACATATATAAAGTACTTAGGAGAATGTCTGGCACATAAATGCTCAATAAATGGTATCTATATATATAAATTATTTTATATTAGACAGCGTCAAATTAAGACTACTATATTGAATATATGTTTATGAGCTCTGAGGTCAAGAAATTTAGAGATCCCAGAAAAAGTTTAGCTAATAAAGAAAGCAGCAAAAACATATTGGTAGATAGAACTCCAGGCTAGTGGCATGTCTGGGAGGTGGTGATGAAAAATGGGCTAATTTCTACGACTTTGGAAACCCAGCAAGGCACAGGATTTGGAAACATTTGATACAGAAGAAGTCAGAAAATTATAGAGAAAAAAAACAGATGTGGGGCAGGGGTGAAGGAGGGATACAAAAAGTTGAAAGTCTAGGCTCACCACCTTCAGCTTTCCCCTTCCATCTACATACACTGAATACAAGTGGTCAAGTACCCTATCCCCAGGAGCAGAAAGGTGTAGGGATAGAGGTTTAGTCACCGATATTGAATAGATGGAGATAAAAATCAATGGGATATGAGGCACATAGTAAAGGAAGGATGAGGTACATAATTGAACATAGGAGTAATTATTGACCCACTGTAAACATGACAGACTCATCCCAAGACCTCTGCCCCTCAATACACAGTTGATTAGAAACCAATGTCAGGTCTCATGTAGAAGAGTTGAGAATTTTTTTCTAGAGAAAGTAAAAAATTCCAGAGATTGACCTCCTTGCGTGGATATTTGAGGCCCGAGTGACTGACCAGGATTCAGACCAATTTCACAGAACTGAGGGATACTCATGGCAAGCACCAGAGATCACAGAGCATCCCATCAAAAATTGAAGGCCTTGTTGTTAAGTAGAAATGATCATCAAGGATCAGGAAACATGTGTGGAAAATCTCCAGAATATAAGAGAGAGACCAAGTAAGAAAACCATGAAAAGCAATCCAGAGGAGAGGTAACGCATGAAATTCAAGAATATTTCAAAATTAAAACCAAACTGCAAATTAATACATCAGAGAGATAGATGTTTTTGTATCAATAAAATGGACGACACTTAGAAGGAAGAACTAAAATAACATAGTTGAAACAAAAATTTCTACAGAAGCCTGTAGTAAATAAATTATCAAGAAGTAAAATATGAGAGACAAGCTAAGAGTTAAGAACATCAAATCAAGAGCTCAAATAACTAATTACTGTGAGTTTCATAAAGAGAATAGAAGGGAGTCATAGGGATAAAAATATTTTTTAAAAGCATACTTTTCTAAAACTAAAAAAATGTGTATTTCTAGATTAAAAGAATTCAAAAATGTACCAGCACAATTAATTTTTAAACTATCCAAAATAAGGCATATTCGTGACATTTTAGAATACCATGTTAAAGAAAACACCCTAAATAATCAATAATAATGATAACAATTTAAAAAGAAATCACATCCAAAGAATGAGCATGAGAATTACATCAAGTTTTTCAACAATAGCACCTGATGATTCAGAAACAAAGAAATTTTCAAACTAGATTTTTTTTTCATTCAAGAGTAAGAGCAGAATAAAAATATTTTTATACATTCAAAGATTCACAAAAGTATCCTTCCTTTCTTAGGTAGCTGTTGGAAAGGAGTGCAGAATGGAAGCATTAGTTCTACACAGGCATTAGTGTCAGAGTTTCTTTGGGAAATAAACTGTTTTCCTATAAATACTAACTCATCTGTGATCATAAGGGAGAAAAAGGGACTATTTATAAATGATTAATCAAGACAAAATTGTAAGCATACTATTTAAAATTACAAGGTAATCAATATAGACAATAATAATAAACTTACTATAAAGTAATAAACTTATATTGAAAGGAAAAGGAGGGTAGTATAAGTGAGATAAATTTTTATTTATCAGAAACAGTTAATACAATGTTTGAAATTGATACTCAAAAGTTGTTTCATAAACATATCTTCATATGCCTATAATTGGAGTTTGGATCTATAATGACATGCCTGAAGAAACTGCCCTTCTTCTCATGGAAGCCAAGTCCTACGAGAAGATGAGCAGATCAAGAGAGATTTTTTTAATTACATTAAGTCATCAGAAAGTGGACGTTAGGCACCGTGACTTAAGCACTGGGAACAAGTTGTGGTTCCAGGAGCACCAGAAACCTGAACTTGAAGTGGATACAAGGATCCGTGGTGAATTCATCTCAAGCAGGATATGGAAGAGAATACAGTCTGCCTAACGGTCGTACATATTTGTAAACAAAGCAGAACAATTAGAATAAATATTAAACAAACACTAACACTTAAAGCCTATAGCACTAAGTATGGTTCAACTCTAACCCTTGGGTACCCCAGCGGAGGATCAGCAGGAAAATCTCAGCCCCCTCTTTCTCTCCAGGAGGCACAGATCAGTAGCTAGAGCAAAGGATAGTAGAGATTCTGATCCTGATTACAGGCACCATTTCCATCCACACTGGAGCCAAATCTCTTTTGGAAAATCTGAGATATAGGAAGTGGGGTGTGCTAAGAACCTACCAGTCACTTTGATTAAGCTATTCATTCACTGGAAGCTGATACAAACTGCTAAAGCAAGTCTTCCTGGAAAAACTTCTAATTCAAAAGACCTAATGGGAATTTTTATATCTGAGATCTAAGATTATCGCTCACCATATACCTGAAACAGTTATCTCAGCAGTCCCTGATGGAATTGTGAGAATTCTCTGGACTCCAAGTTGGATGACAACTGTAGAAAACTCTTTGTGATTATCAGTTAAGCTCCAGATGTCTCCAGAAACATGTTTTTTCCTGAGTGACACACACTGCAAACTCCACGCTTTGTGAGTGAGTGGCACAAAGCCACTCAGTGGGACAGCTGCAGTGAGTGGCTTCACATAGCACATCACGGTGTACTTTCTTCAGGTTAGGTTACACACCCCCTACTCAATTGTCCTGTAATAGCTGCATGAATCAGAGGAAAAAGATAACTCTACAACTGAATATAAAACATAAAACATGATAGGGCAAGGAATATGAGGTATGTAATGTATGATTAATAAGTCTGAGTTCTGTTTCCTGTGACAGTATAAATATTTGCAAGTTTTTAAGCTAAGGAGACTATAGAGAGATCTACCATGAATATAATGGATTATTCTTCTCTAATTATAATCCTGTGGGTCTGTAGCAATCTGCGAGGAGCAGGGGATCTTATAATAGGCTCCACTCTAAAAGCCAAGTTTTTCTCTGGTCATACTACGGTACCACCTTGTTTTTATATCATGTTCATGTTGTCCTTGTCTCTGTTTCCACTTTAAACGTTGACCTTTGAGAGAAAGTATGCTTTATGCTTCTTTCTCTCTTTATTCTCTTCCTCCCCCTCCTTCCTTTCCACTCTTTCTGTGGAACTGAAAGAGTGTCTCTGGATGTTGATCCCTGTCTATATGCTGAGAGAACTCTTTTCCACTCCCCAACTCTTTCCCCCTTGCCTTCTATGTAGCTGGATTGTACAGCTGTTTCAGAATCTGGCTTTAGTATTTAATAGTGGTGTAACAAGTTATTCCAAATGGCTTAAATTAACAATAGCAATGATCCCACAGTCTCTGTAGGTCAGGAGTTCAGGCATGACGTAACTCCCAGGCTCAAGTGGCAAGGATGCTTATTATTTAAAAGCTCACCCGTGTAATTGACAAGACTCCATTCTTCGTAGCTCTTGGATCAAGGCCTTGGTCCCTCATGAGGTGCTGGCCAGAAGGCCTCCCTTGGCTCTTGCTATGTGCATCGCTCCAGAGAATATCTCACAACCTTGCAACTTGCTCCATGCGAGTGAAACAAACTATAAACAAGAGAGAGTGCCATAGGATGGAATTCATCGTCTTTGGTAATCAAATCACAGAAGTAATATCCAATTAATTTTGTTTTATTCATCTCTTCAGAGGCAAGTCGCAAGACCCATTCAAAGAGAAGGGATTATCCAAGGGTGTAAGTACCCAGAGGTGAGGATCACTGGGGGCCATTTCAGAGACTGCCTACCAGGCATGCTTAGAGTGAAGGGCAGGACAGGTATTTGCAGAGGCTGGAGGAGAGAGAAGGTTGGGAGCTATGTTAGAGCTGCCTACCACCTTGGCTGTATGGTTGGCCCAGTCCAGATCCACATCTATCCTTTTCTCTCTCTTTGAATTCACCCTAGACTCTCACTTTGTCTTCACCATAAGGTTCCATACTCATTGAACCCTTGGTTTGAAACATTTGCCCTCACTGTCTAATTTTCTGTCCTTCCCATTAGCAATAACTAACATTTATATGTTGGTATATGTATAGGTTATAAAGCATTTTACCTGAAAGGAACTGAATTTCAGAAAGAGATATAACCAAATGGCAGAAAAGCAGTGGCCAGAGAAGTAGAAATGTCCAGATAGTGAAGGATCATAGCAATGAATTGTTTCAAGCATTCGGTTGTCAGCTTTATGTTTTCTATTCAAAACTAGTTTCACCAAATCACCACCGTAGATCCAGGGTATTATTTGCAAACTGCGGAGTTTTATCATTTGGTTCTTTTGTAAGTTTAATAAATTTGATGTAGTTGATGTTCGATGACTATAATAATCACAGAGAGTCATAAATTTTAAATAGAAAAATATCACATTTACTTTGACTATAACCATAGAAACTGAATTAATATCAGTCCTCTTTGCTTATTAAGGTCAGGTTCTGAGAGTGGTTGCCATGGTTGTGTTTGATGGCTTTCATTGACTGCATAACAATTAGAAACATTTTTCTGAAAACTAATTTTTTTGGTAACCTGGGACTGAAGTGAATTCAGGTCTACCCACCTTTTGTACTTTGATTTGGCATTTCTTCCACAGTCATGGTCAGAGCAACATACAAAATCAATCAGCAGAAAATGCTTATTTACGTCATCTATGGATTTTCCAACAAATAGCTTATGAAAACACCTTTCTTGTGGATAATGACTAGAAGTGAAAAGTGGACTGATTCCCAGTAATTACAGTCTGGTGTTGCTTTAATCACCAGTACGTAGTCTATCACTAAGAAACCTAACAGAAGCAGATCAGGATACAAATTGTGACTCAAATAAAATAAATGGGAAAAAGATAAATTCTATCTTGTGTATTTTCCCCTCCATCACACCACACTGTATTTGGATGTCCTTTCATTTAAATAAAGGTATTTAAGTGACAGCTGATGAACAGTGTGTTTATATTCCAGGAATGTTGTCTCGTAGATTTGGATTATATACAGATGAAAAGTAGCCCATATGGCTTTTGAACAAAATGAATGGCTGAAAGCCCTGAAAAATGCTGGTGGAAAGGTTGGCATACTAAAAGGTTAATTAAAATTTGACTCTGCAGGATGGATACTTTTATTTATAGAACCTTCGGCTGATTTTCAGCAGCCATTTTTTCTTCTAATTAAAATAATATGAAGAGCTAATAGCAATCAGCTTAAAGAACTGAATATTTTAGAGAAGGGATGATTCATAGGCTTTTCAATAACCCTTTTACAGTAGGTGTCTCCACTAAAGAGCACATAAAACATTTGTATTCAGCCATTGTCTAGTTCAAATGTCATGAAGTATTAAGTTGGAAAAAATGAGGTGTGAATTATTTAAAGTGGCCTAAAATAAGTCATTGATATTATCATGTAAATTTGATATTTCCCTAAAGGTTCTGGAATCATTCTCTGACAAGGCATAACTTATAAATTCTGAGACAGTGGGCCATTAGAAGCATTATTTTTAAAAAATAGGAAGTCCCTTATACATTCACATATATAACAAATTAGTAAATAATAGTATTTAAGAGAAGTAAAAGTTTGCCATGGACACGTTATGTACACATTCAGACAAGTACGTAGATAGATAGATAGATAGAGATTAGATAGATACAATAAAGATCATTTCATCATAATAACCTCCGTAGGATTAAACATTCTTTCCCCCAAATCATTGAGAATGACTAAAGAAACATTAAAACCTGAAGTGGAAAGATAAAAAGCATGAATGAGTAACTATACATAAGAGAAGTAAAAAGTTTAAAGAAAAAAAAAAGGAAAGGAGCACATCACAAATATACACTTCCCGTGTGACAGAAACAACCAATCCATCCCCCACTCTTCACCCTACTTCTCTTTTCCTCGTCTTCCTCAGTAATAAAATTCTTGAACTATATCACCTTTTACAATCAAGGCTCCATATCCCCACCTTCTATGAAGCTAAAGAGGACCAATTGCGTGACCCTGGCCAGCGGAATGTGAGTGGCAGTGGTGTCTGCATCTTCTGGAAGCGTCCATCTTCTCCTTTCCCCTTGCTGCTGACTGGAACGTTGATGTACATGCTCCAGACAGAGCAGCCTTGTAATGTAACAGTTAGTCTTGGGAATGCAATGCTTGCAAGACAGAAATAAAATAAAAGGAGACTGGGACTCCAATACTGTGGAGCATCAAACCAGTCCTGTACCGTTCTTCCTAACTTGTACTTTGAGAGAAAGCAATTTCTACCTTTTAAATCCACTATTGTTTTGTTTTCCTTTCACTTGAGGGTGGACCAAATCCTAACTAAATACACTCTAAGATGTGGATTTATTCTAGAGAAACAAATCAGGCAGTACCTCTACAATTTAAGATACACTACTAAACTTTAAAAACCCAAACATACGGTCTCAATGGAGAGACAGAAGTGCACCAGACCAGTTATTCTCAACTTCCATGTATATGAGAATCACCTGGAGAGCTTGTTAAAATACAGAAACCCCAAGACCCCAAAAGATCTGATTCAGTAGGTCAGGGTGGGACTGAGAATTTACATTTCTAATAACCTCCCAAGTGATGCCAATGTTGCCTGATGGCAGAACACACACTCCGAGTGTCACTGCAGAATATACCTCCACCTCCAACATATGCATATTCTGTACGTCCCACAGCACGCTACAACTGCTCCTTGCCCTAGCATCGGGATATTCTAATTTCTAAATGTCATGCAAAGCCACTTTTAACATCCTGGAATACCTTACCTTTCACCTAACAAGCTCCATACCTTCATTATTTTAAATTGATTATAGCCCATAAAATAAATTGTGAAATGAACATAATACAAAAATCATGGTCTTTATTCATTATATATGTAATGTATTTATTTCAAGTTCCACTTCAAAAATCAGATAAAATATAAACAATCAAATCATAAGGATTTTGGGAGGGGGGTGGGTAATATAATTACCTGATCATTTGTTTCTGAATCACCTAGGGCACTTATTAAAAATGAGAATTCTGGGCCCCATCCCACACATGCTTAGACTCCTGAAAGAGATTTTTCAGCATGACTGAGTATGAAACAGACAACCAGAATGACCTCCTTAATGCTGTAGGCAAAAAGCCTGAACCTCACTTGTAGTAACTGGAGGGTAAGACAGCAAGTATTGCCAAACAAAATCATCTAAAGAATGGAATCCTTCTTTTGAACACTGTGGTTGTAAGATCATTTTCTGGGGCACCTGGTGGCTCAATTTAAGTGTCCAAATCTTGATGTTGGCTCAGGTCATGATCTCGTGACTCGGGGGACCCAACCCCAGTCAGGTTACACCCTGACAGTATGGGGCCTACTTGGAATTCTCTCTTTCCCTCTCCACCCCTCCTTGACTCATGAGTTTTCACATACTCTCTCCCTCTCTCTCTCTCAAAATAAATGAACATTAAAAAAAGAAAGGTATCTTCCCACCCAAATTCATGGCACGTATATGAAATCTATCGACGTAGTCACAAAAGGCACTGTTCTTTTGTGACATAGGAGGCCTTCGGCAGAAGGCACTAGAAGAGATGTTCATATTGAGAAGAAAGCAAAGAAAGATCCCTATTTTTTCAAAATGGCACAGATCTAAGCAGTAGCAAATAGATAAGAAATAAGACATACAAATGGTCAACAGTTACATGAAAAGATGCTTAACATTACTAATCATCAGAGAAATGCAAATCATAACCACAACAATATATCACGTCACACTTGTTAGAATGGCTATTATCAAACAGACAAGACATAACAAGGTGAAGTTGTGGAGAAAAGGGAACCACTGTGTACTGCTGGTTGAAATGTAAATTGGTACAGTCACTGTGGAAAACAGTAAGGAGAGTCCTCAAAGAATCAAATATAGAAATACCATATGATCCAACAACCCCAGCTCTGGGCATATATCCAAAGGAAATGAATCCATTATCTTGAAGATATACTAGTACTTTCCTGTTCACTTCAGCATTATTCACAATAGGCAAGACATAGAAACAACCTAAGTGTCCATCAACAGAAGAATGGCTAAAGATAATATAATATATTATAAATATAATGGAATATAATTCAGCCTAAGAAATAAGGAAATCCTGCCACTGGCAACAATATGGATGAATCTAGAGGTCATTATGCTAAGTGAAATGAGCCAGGCAGAGATAGGCAAACACTACATGGTATCACTGATATGTGGAATCTTTTAAAAATAAATAAATAAATAAAAAGTCAAACTCATAGAAAGAGAGCAGCAAAATGCTTGCCAGGGGCTTGGGGGTGGAAGATGAATAAGAAGAAATTGGCAAAAAGGTACAAATCTCAGTTGCAAAACGAATAAGGTATGAGGATCCCATCTACAACACGATAAAAACACTACATTATATAACAGAAATTTGCTGAGAGAGTAGAACCGAAATGTTTTCACCAAAAACAAAAGTAAATATGTAAGGTAATGAAAGTGTTAGTTAATTAATTAACTCCATATCAGGGATCTTTTCACAATACATGCATGTATCAACTCATCAAGTTATACACTT